AAAAAAAAAAAAAAAAAAAAAAACATACGGTCGAATTGAATACCTCCTTCTTTTGGGAAGTCGGTCAAAAAAACAAAAAAATCACATTGTTTTACAAAAAACATGCGTTTAAGACATTTGGATAGGATTTACGATTTAAAAATCTTTATTTTGCTTAAAAATAATTAACAATTCACTTACTTAAGGTAATTAACTAATGCTAAATATATTATTTCCATAACAATATTGCAAGCGTCCTAGAAATATAATCTATACTATTATATTAAAGCGTAAACACACACTTCTTTGTTGCCTAATGTCAGAAATTACAGCATATTTCTGAATAATTCTTTTTTGCATAAAAAGTCCTACATTTAAGTCACGCTTTATGCTATATATTTTCACGACATTAAACTTAGGGGGTAAATATTTTAGATAAAAACCCTAATGTGGGAAAGGGACCATAAGTTGCTGTCAACATCAAGGAAGCAAGGTTGCCATGGTTTGTCATCATGTCATGGCATTTTGACATTTGCAGTTGATAATTTAACAAATGTAAACAGTATAATAAAATTTTCATAATTTTACGCGGATGAAGTCGCACGGGAACAGCTAGTATAAAATATTCACTAAGATGACCTTTGACTAAACTGACGAACGACTGTTGCGATTGTCGATTGTTTCGCAACCAATTTAACTATTTAGTACGAGCTGTTGCCCGCGACTTCGTCCGCGTGGTATTAGAAAACATACGAACTATATAAATTACCAAAAGCTACGTATCACTCGGTAACCGGACATTTCTCGGGGATGAAGCTTATCACATGTGTACTCCAGACTTTGTTTTATATCTGTGCCAAATTTCAATAAGATATGTTGAACCGTTGCAGAATGATCGAGTAAACATGAAAAAACTAAATTAATGAATCCCACGGGAATGGTAAGTATTCCCGGGATAAACAATGTTATAACTGTGCCAAATTTCATAGAGATCCGTTCAGCCGTTTAGGCTACAAACGCTAACAAACATCCATCCATCCATCCATCCATCTATCCATCCATCCATCTAAACTTTCGCATTTATAATATTAGTAAGAAGTAAGATTACTTAAGTTTACCACTTTAGTTTATGTTTAAGTTTTTTTTTTATTTCATAAGGTGACAAACGAGTAAGCGGCCACCTGAATCCGCAAAAATAGCGAAGCGACCGCTGCCCATAGACGGAGGACGAGCATATTTCCCCCTGGTAAGCGTCTCTTACGCCGTCAAAAAATTGGGCCTCCGGCACCACACTCATCAGACGAAACGCGGAATTGCTTCCACTTAACGCCTGTCTTCTGTATGGTCGTGGTATTGCTGGGGGTGAGCCAGCCCATTCGTGCGAAGATGTTAAAGCGGGCTCTACCACTGTTAAAGGAAGATATTAGAAATGCATAAAATTAGCATTCAGTGGTTTACGGCCAATTGTTTATTATTGTTATTATTATCACCAGTTCAGTACATCCCTACTAAGGGGCTCAGGGCCTACCCTAAGTATGTGTCATTAGTCTTAATTTAATCCTATTATTATTACCATTATCACCTAACTGGTTATTTGCAGGAGTAATCCGGTAATAATAACGAAGTAACGGCTCGTGCCGAGGCTCCTGAGGGAGCCCTCGAGCTTAGTTACTCATAAACGAGGTTTAGACTAAGCCATCTGCGCTCGGCCACCTCATGCCCAGTGAATCTGTAAATGCCTCTTCAAGGCGAACGGTGGCCATTCAGTCACACAAAAAAATCCCGTTGGAACAAGGAAGTTATTCTGTAACTTTTCATCGCGGATTTCCACGTTTGGGTTGTTCGGAAAGTAATTTCGTTTTTTCCGTCAGAGGACTTAATTACGTTTTTTCGAAACCAACTTCACACTTAAGCCGAATAACCATTATTTGTCTTGAGATCTGATATTGTAAGGCTTGTGTGTGAAAAAGTTCTATTAATTCTACACAGTAGTTTTTGGTTGGTGCCCTTTTATTGAGGATGAAAAGCAACATTTTCGTCATATTTACTTTTTTACATCAGAAAAGGTAAAAATGCTGTTTAAGCGAGAAAAAAATTGACGGATGTGTATGGAGAAGGCGTGTTAACAGTACACCAGTGCAGGAACTGGTTTGCAAAATTTCGATCCGGCAATTTTTGATGTCGAAGATGCACCACGGTCTTGAAGGCTGGTCGAGGCTGACAAAGATGCGTTAAAGCATTAGTTGATGCAAATCGGCGAATAACCACACGAGAGATCGGCGAGAGATTAAATTTGTCGAATTCGACTGTTTATGGCCATGTCTTTATGTTATGTTCATAAACTGTCTTTCATGTTCCCAAAAAAAAAAACATAGAAAGCCATACAAGAAGGATACTTACAATTGCTATCACCAATTAACATATGCGCATGGCCAACTAGAGGTAACGCTCCTTTGAGTACAGGCGGCTCTTGATTCGGTCTTGGTTTTCTCCACAAATAAAGGAAAACAGCTATCATAAACAATATTATAAATAACATGTTTTACAAAGAAATTAAGAGTCGATTAAAAAAACTAAATCGAAGTATACATTCGTGTTAATTCCGAAATATATGGATATCCACAAATTGTTCTCTTTCTCAATAAAACTCTCACTGTATACGCTTTTCATTTATTTTAATTCCATTCATCAAATGTAAAACTAAAACGTAAAAATGGTAACGTCTGGTTCGTACGAAATACAATTAAGTAAACTCGCTAAACTTATATGTGGATTTTAAATTACGGTCTACAAAAAAACACTAACTGCGCAAAAACTGCAAAATATTAACAAAAGTTTAATTTTAAGAATTGAATATGTTTTTTTTTTTCTTTGGCTTTTACGATTTATTTTATCATTTTTTTTGTAATAAATCTGTATAAAATTAAAAGTATTTTGTAGTCAGGGAAATAAACGAGACACCTTTATTGACGAAATATGACGCGTTTCGAATGAATATAACTACTAGAACTAGCTTTCTCTTCTACGGATGAAAGGAGACTGGAGACCCAGTGGTAGAGAAGGTAAGGAGTATGAGGTTACAAGGAGAACGTTAGTTATGAATATGGAGGTACACTGGAAGAGGTAGACCTAGTATATGAATGGATTGCGTGAAAAGTGACATGATGATGAAGGGAATGATGACTGAGATGACGTATGATAGAGTTATGTGGAGGACAAAAACCTGTTGCGCCGACCCTACGGGAGTAGGATAAGAAGGAAGATTACAAGGACTAGCTTCCGCCCATGATTCTGTCCCCGTGGAATTAAAAAAACAAAAGCAAGTACCTTACATGTATTTTTAGACTATGCTCTACATCTATGAATAATTTCGTCGAGATCCGTTTGCCGTTTCGGAGATACGTATAGTAATAAACATCCATCCAAACTTCACCATTTATTATATTATGATTGTGAACATTTGTTTACAACAATTATTTCTAACAAGTAACTACTTTTTAATTGTAAACAATTTTTATTCATTTGATAATTTTTAAGTCATTTACCGTCTTGCTATTGATATATAGTGACCAGCAGCTGGTGTTAACAGAACTTCAAATTTAAATTCCAATTTTTTTAAATCCGCATTAATACGATATCTCCGTAGAATATGTGCAAGCGTAGTCTTCATTGATATCATCGAATAAGTCCGTCCTGGAAAGAAAAAAAAATGTATTTATAAAACACAAGTTTTAAATGAGAAAACATACAGTTTATGTTAGAGTATGCATCTGCAAATACAATGACTACGAACAAAGTTGCACCAGTGGTGGCGATATTGAGAAGCAAAAAGTTAACGTGGGTAGCAAAATGTGTTTGGCGTAAAACTTAGTAATTCAAAAATTCGTAGAATAAAATTTAAATAAAAGAATGGCTAGAAAGGAAGATGAAGACCGAAGAAAGTATGCATGGATTGTGTGAAAGAGAATATGCCTAAGAAGGGAGTGGATTCAGATATGACGGCTGATAGAAATGTTTGTAAGAGCAGCACATACTATGCCGACCCTCGTGGAGACAAGGGCAATTTGATGATGAAGATAAAAATTTAAAATTAAAACAAAAATTTAAAATTTACCGATGCAATTTCTTTTCCCGATACTAAACGCCATGAATGCATTGGGGTTGCTAGGCAACGTGCTTCTATCCAGCCATCGTTCCGGCCTAAAGTGGTCCGCGTCGCGGCCCCACATCGGATGCCTGTTAACCGCGTACACGCTGAGGAAACACGAATGTCCACCTTTAAGTGTGACATTTTCTGTAATCGAAGAAAAAACAAGTATAAAAACCTATTTGACTGAAACGTATGACACCTCAATTGTTAAAACTGTTAGAGTACAGGTTACGATGCAATTTACATATGTACACGCAAATTAGCATACACACGCGGAAAATTATTACTTCCTGAGCCAATTGTATAAAAAACATTCACAAGTTAAATTGTAAAATCTTCTAAAGCGATAGAAAATGCAATAGTTATTCAAACTAGTTTATATAAAGCGTAACTACTTACTAAGTTTTATATCACGATGTACATAACGTCCTAAAAAAGGCACTATCGGATAAAGTCGCATCGTCTCCTTCAAAACCGCATCCATATAAATTAATTTTGTCAAATCATCTTTTTCCACATCTCTATCAGAACCACCAAATACTTCTTGAAGTCTGAAACAAGAGTCTCGTACTTTAATAATAACATTTTAATTCACACTTATACGAAGTACGTTTGCAACTCGTCTCGGAGACTACCCTAAGTGGTGACTGGAACATAGTTAACCAGGCTGACCCACTACGGGTTGGTTTCACATAGATTTGAAAGGGAGCGGAAGGCGATGGCAGTCTGTGCCAATATGCTGGCCCGCAGATTTGCGCGATGTAGTACAGATGTGAAAATAATACTCTTGCAGGCATACTGCCAGACATTCTACACGTGGAATTTATGGGTTAAATTTACGCAACGGGCTATCAGCGCCCTCCGCGTCCAATATAACAATAGCCTTAGGATGCTGCTGGGGCTCCCCCGACACTGCAGTGCGACAGAGATGTTTGCGTATAAGTGGATTGACGGCTTTAATGCCGTACTGCGCAAACGGACGGCTTCTCTTTTACTAAGTGACAAGTCCGACTGCCAGAACATGGGACAATGGCTGTGCGAACACGTAGCCAGCCTTAGGTCATGTAGTAATTAGGTCTAGTGTATAGGATGTAAATTTTTGTCAATGTAAATATTCATTTAAAAAAAAAATAGAATTTCTTCGCAGACGTGTGCAAACATCACGATGTTTGACTTCTTCTTACTTAAGAACATATTTACTCACTCAGAATAAAGTTTGTCTTGCACTGCGGGGTAAGAACCTATCACTATCATCACGACTTGCATGACAAGTGTGATAGTATCATGTCCAGCGAAAATTAGCGTATTCACATGATCTCTGATAAATTTGTCATTCATCACTTCATCTCCAACTGTATTCTTGACATCGAATAGCACGTCGAGGAATGGTTTAAAATGGCCAGCTGCAAACATATATCTTACTAGCTGTTGCTCGCGACTTCGCGCGCGTAAAATAACAAATATAACCTATTGCTTTCGCCCATTTTTTAACCTATTACCCAAAGTATTAACTTAGTAGTAATCTAGGTAATAACAGAAATCTACCGATGCAAGATTCCAAATTTCTTAGCGCGGTAGCTTGTAAGCTGATTTTTCGGTTACCCTTATTGTTTGTGTTCGCGATATCTTCTAAACTATTAGTCCAATTTAAATATTATCAAGGACAATTTTACTCTACATTAAATTATCCTGATAACAATCGCATTTATTTGGATAAGGATTAATATTGAAACCAATAAAAGAACGCTGCAAATAGCGTAAGGTTTATAATTCATTTTGTAAACAAAAAAGTGGTTATTGTAAGAGAACCGCTAAAGATAGATATGTGCTATCGCGGACTTTTCTGTAGAGCTTTTTGAGATCTACAATTCTTTGATGTATCATTTTTATGTATCTCTAACGGTTTAGGCAGCGTAAGCCGAAAAAAGTTAAAGGTTAGTGAATTTTTAACGCCGCCGTACAGAAACACACTGTTTATTAATAGTTCCTAAACATTAGTAAATAATAAAATATGGCCTATTAGTCATAGATAAATTACCTTTCTGATGGTGAAAGAATTTATAAAATCGGTCCAGTGGTTTTTGACTTATTTCAATACATACAAAAATACAAAGTTTTCCTCTTTATAATAGTATAGAAGTATAGATTATTAATATAATCAAAATGATTCATATACAATTATAAATGGTTTTAATATTCATACCTTCATCACTATTACTATTGATTTCGTTGTCATAAACATAATTCTTTCTTTCTACAATCTGAAACAGTAACATACGTAAGTGTTATCTAAAAATATGTGTAGAAGTCGCGAACAAAAAAACGATACTTTCCTAACTTTCTCCTTTCCTGATAAATATTTCTGCCCATCCTTTCATTGTAAGATATTAATGGGTAAGGAAAGAAGAGTTAATAATACAGTTTGCCGCTTTAGGGTCTATAGTGGTCGATTTGTAGAGTAACTACATAAATGCGGAGGTCAAATTTTAGTCCTCTCTTTTCTTTTAAGTACAGGATGAGAAGGGCGAGTACTTTTTCCATAAGTGAGTTTTGTCGAGAAATATACTCTTCTGGGTGTCCATTCCTCGGGTTATTAAAATTAGGCAACGCATTTGCTATATTGTAATTTGTTGGAGATGTTTATAGATTAGTTCACTATTTCTACGAAATCATATGGCAGTTTGGGCGTTTTGTATTGCACTGGACGTGCGACACTTACTTGCAGCTAAAGCCCGCTACATATGCTTGGTTAAAACTGCCTGAACAGAGCATATGCAGCGCGTTTATACTCTACATTCCAACTTACCTTGTCTATAGTTCTGTGCATTATATCTCGATTGGTGTTTCGTATTATCCTCAGTCTGCTTCGTCTCCAGAAGAATTTGAAGTGCAGCCACAAATTTACAAATTGTTCAATGTAGCTGTTTAATATTGTAAGAAAAGCATTCTCATATTCGTTCAAAGTTTCTTTGTCGTTGGTTAAATCTAAGCCGATTGATGTTACTGTAAACAAATACATTAATAATTAAGATTTTCCAATATTGGTACTTGTATATTATAAATACTAGTTCTTCCTGTCTGCCTTTTATTGTTCAGATTCCGTAAAACTGTCAATTGCAAATGTCAAAATCATCAATTGACAACTAAGACCCTTGGCATTGGTTGAGAATTATGTATGAGTCACAATGGCAACCTTGCTTATTTGCTCCTATTGGCTTGTAGTTTTTGTCCCTTACTCGCATGACCAATGTTTTCCAATTCATTTATCCCTAAATAGAATAGCGTGAAAACATAATTCTTAGGCGTGTCGTTGGTCTTGGGTTATTTGTTAGAAAAATATGCTGCGATTGCTGATATCCTACTCAACAAAGAAATGTGTTTAAAGTTATCTCATGTAGTATTATGTTTTTTTTTTATTATTTCTAATTAGTGAACGTAACTCACAACAAATCGTTCTCATTTCATTATGTCGTATGAAATACCCGTGATCAAATTCTCCATTGTCTATATGAGTTTCGAATTCTTTTACAAAATCCCTTGCTTGTTTATTGAATACTCCCAAAAGACTTAGCAAATAATTCAGACTAAATTTTGGGTTTAACAACTTTCTATGTTCTTTCCAAGTTTCGGCTAAAACAAAACACGATTATCGTTTTATCATACTAATGAAAATTTGTAACTAATATTAATAATGTAAAAGTTTGGATGGATGTTTGTATTTTGAGAACGGCTCAACGAATGTCCATCCATCGAAGTAGCATTGATGAAATTTGGTAAAATAAAAAGGGAACTGACGTCCCTTCCCAGAGTCAATGAGTCAAGCCGATCGGTAAGACCCCAGGCGATTCGAGCGGCACGTCGCTTCACGAGATCAAAAGGAAGGGGCTGGTATTTAGGTGATGATGAGATGCGAGCAGTATTCCATATGTGGCCGAACCTATGCTTTCTATAACTGCAGACGATTGGCTGAAAGAAGCTCTTTGTGCTACACCTTTACAAATACACCAGTACAAAGTTACCGCCAAAGCCTCCCCTTTGTTCTCAATTGTCTCCGCCCATCTGTGAGTAAGGTAGGTAAGATCACCAGCTGAGCGGTGCTGACGAAAACCGTGCTGGCGATCGCTTAACAGTTAGTGTTCCTCCAGGTACATCACTAGGGTACACCTTGCTTGTTTGTCAGTTATGCTATGAAATGAATAACTTACTAGAGGCAGTTACTAATCCGTCACCGAAGCAGGAGCGCGCGATACTGTAAAACTTATGTTTTTCTAAACAAGCATTGCCAACTGTCAAACAGTCATCTGGATCCGCTAAGACTGAAAATCATTGATATAATAAAAATTAGTAGTTTATTACAATAATGCTAAACTTCGCTGCAGTATGCACTGCACTACACACAATCAGTTTTATCTAAACAGTCAGACCGTTCAGATAAATCTTACTAATCAGGGAAGTGTTCAGTTCTCAGTTTTACCTAAACACGATATCTCAACCACCCACTGTTCAGATAAAACTGCCTTTAAGTATTGCACGAACAGCCTAACCCCCTGGTGCTGGTCGCTAGGCTACCATTTTGGTGGACCTTCCGGTTGGCTAAAATAACTATATTAACTATAAAAACAAACGGCACATACTGTAATTTTTAATTCCGAATATAAATACAGTAGTAGAGTATGCAATAGACATGGCCTTTGGGGTTTCTCGTTCAATCATCTTCCAAAAGTCTGGAACAATAAATAGATTAATTAAAATAAAATTGACGATAACATATTGAAGGCAAAAAAAATTGCATAGAACCTATGAAATAACAAATTGACGAAATGCATATGCTTTACCGTGCATGTTTTTTTATATATTATAGTAGGCAAACGAGCAAGCGGCCACCTGAATCCTCCGAAATGACGAAGTAATCGCTGCTCATAGACATTCGCAATTGCACACGCGTTGCCTACCCTTAATGAACGGAGTAGGAGACGCACATAAATAGGATATTTTCACTTCATATGCGTCTCTGCCGCCGTCACAAAAACGATGTTACGAAAACGTTCTCACGGATATTCGTGATAAACCCTTAGATAGTAAGATCATGTTTTCACAAATGTGCCAAATTTCATCTAGATCTCTTAAGCTGTTCTCCAGATACCGTCATAATAATCATTCATCCATCTGTACGGACAAACGGATAAAGGGATCTCGATGAGAATTGGCATAGATGTAGAACATAGTCTGAGAGAACACAAAGGCTAATATGTTTTTCTTTTTAATTTCGCGCGGACGAAGTTGCGGGCGAAATCTAGTACAGAATACAGAATAGTTGGATAACAATATCTTACCTTTGCCGCTTCTACGGTCGTAGGATAAGGTAAGGGAGAGGGTGATCTTACCTTTGCTATCTCCAACCAACTTATGTCCATGACCAATGAAGGGCAAAGCGCCTGAAAGTATTGGTGGCTCTTCATTACTCCTAGCGGTACGTTTAGTCCATAAATATGAAACAACAGCTGTCATTAACAATATTATAAATAACATTTTTCATTAAAAACCAAACACCTTTTCAATACCTAATCTGAATTACGACTTGAATTTAAATCGACTTTAATTTCCTATTTAAGTACTTTTTTGAAGGCAAACAACCTTCATCGAATTAATTAGACATAAATCCATACCTATTACTACATTTTCAGGCTATTACAATTTTGGGTTAAATAAATTGGATTTTTTTAATGAAAATATTAGTAAATTTTTGTTAATTTACTAATATTTCCTTGAAACATTCCAACTAAGCTCTAGGCTTGTGCCAGGATATGGTTCACCACAATAGTCGAATGGCGGAATTCGAACCCTCGACCGCAAGATCGGTAGTTCGTACACCAAACCGTTAGGCTATTGGCGCTTAGTTGTCATGCGAGAATAGGAAAAATCTACGAGCCAAATATTAGCTAAGAAGCCAGATTTCCATGGTAATATGCGCCGTCCTTGCTTCACTCGTGTCTTTGAAATAATTCACTATCGAAGGCTCGTTTGCAAGAAATATAGAATCTCGTCTAATGTAGCAGAATAGTTAGTCAAGTGTCTTCTAAAATTGGCACCCGAAGTTCTAGAAAGACTAAGAACTGATCGGGCCATTGGTATCTACATATAGGAGAGTTTAAGATTTACGACTTATCAACTAACGAATCAATATTATTGGATACATAATAAAAAACATTCTAACTAAATAAACATTTGTAATCTACATAACTATATACAAAATAAAATAAAGTATTTAAAGTGCATGTAAATTTTTGTTCCTGCTGAATAATAAAGTAAAATACAAATTAAATTCAGGAAGTGGCTTCAATGTCAAATGCACAGTCCATCTATTTTGTTTATATCTATATTATTATACTAAAGCGTAAACACACACTTCTTTGTTGCCAAAGATGTCAGCAATTACAGCATATTGTTGAATAATTCATTTTTTAATAAAAAGCTCTACACTTTTTCACGCTTTAGGCTATATATTTTAACGCCATTATACTTACGGTGTAAATATTTTGGATAAAAACCTTAATGTGGGAAGAGACCATAAGTTGCTGCCTACATCAAGGAAGCAACATTGTCATCATGTCATGTCATTTTGACATTTGTAATTGATAATTTGACAAACCTATGTGCCGACCCTCCATAAGGGATAAGGGCAAGTGGATGATGATGAAACAATAAAATAAAATTTTCATAATTTCATGCGGATGAAGCCGCACAGGAACAGCGAGTACTAATATAATAATGCTTAAACACACTTCTTAGTTATGTAGGATTTCAGCAATCACAGTATGTTTTTGAATAATCCTTTTTATTAAATAAAAAGTCCCACACTTACGACACGCTTTAGCCTATCTATTTTGACGCTTTTAAACTTAGGGAGTAAATAACTTGGAAAAAACTTTCATTCGGGTAGGGGACAAAAACTGGAAGCTGAAATGCTGGAAGCAAAAGCTGTATCAAGGAAGCACAGTTGCAATTGTAACAGTGTTTTCACACCTTTGACTAAAATGTCTCACAACTCTTTAGTCCCGCTTTGATTCCTATGAGTTTACATGGAGGTGCACACAATACTCCATTTTTAGTTGTGCAAGTAAACAGTTGAATTGTCTGTGAAACAATCGACAATCGACAGTTATGCAATAGTTTAAGCTAAGGTGTGCGGCCGCTCTAACGGTAATTGTTATCCAATGTCAAAGGTCTTCGTTATCAATTGTGTATTTAAATTTTGACATTTGCAATTGAAAATTGAATGAAATCGTAAATAGTAATTCCTCAATCATTATCTATCTCTATCTGTATGTTAGTATAATAATGCGTAAACACACGCTACTTTGTGGCGTAACATGTAATAAAACGCCCAACACTTACCGACACGCTTTAGGTTATATATTTTCACGCTATTAAACTTAGGGGGTAAATAAATTGGAAGTAAAGCTTCATGTGGGTAAGGGACCATAAACTACAAGGCCAAGGTATGCAGTGATATTTCTACGTAAGGGTTTCCACATTTTTACCATAACAATTGACAATTGAAAGTATAGTAACAATTAAGTAATG